TGGGTCGATGGCGTGGCGGGCGCACCACCTCACGTCCATGCAAAAAAGCTGGACAACCTCCTTCGATAATTTGCTAAGGCCGCCTGCCTGCAAAACTAACCACAAGTGACCCGGCCAATGTTCCGAAATTGCCGCGGGCGCCACTTCGCGCGATGGGCATGGAGCCGACTATGATAGTCACGATGGGCAGGCAGTCTGGAAAGCACGTCACCACGCAGGTGGGCATCCTCACGCCAGGATGCCCTACGGCCGCAGCACCACGCCACCGGTCGACCCGAAGGACTTCGCCATACAGTTCGGGAAACACGTCGGCAGGGAGGAGGACGAGGACGAGAACGACGACGACGAGGAGGGGGAGAAGGAAGAGGAGAGAGGAGGAGGAGGAGAGAGAGGAGGAGGAGGAGGAGGAGGAGGAGGAGGAGGAGGAGAAGGAGGAGGAGGAGGAGCACAAGGAGGAGGAGTCGAGCGTGCCGAAGCGCTCGGTCTTGCCTCCGCCGCCACGCACGCCGCGCGCCCCCGCGCGCAGCCGCGCCACGGCCGCCGCGCCCAGCCCCCACTCACAGGGGCGCTCGCGGGTGGGGAGCGGGCCGCAGCGGCCGCTCGAGGTACGTGTACTTGATGATGTGGATGCGCAGGAGCTCCATGCACTCCGCCAGCACGGGGAAGAGCAGCACGCTGCACACGGGCGGGCAGCGCATCGTCCGCGAGGCACGCACCGCCGCCCTCGCCGCCGAGTGCAGGGTCTCAAGGTCGACGCTGTTCTCCATGCGGAGCGTGTGGTAGGTGCCGCACGCGACGACCACCCACTCGATGTTCTCATTGCTATTGTCCAGCAGCGCGAGGTTCGCCACCGCCTCGGTCTGGACGGCGGACCTGGTCGCTGCCGCCACAGCAGCAGCCAGCGGGCCACACGTCAGGTAGTGATTCTCGTTGTCTGCGCCAGCGGTGCACTGGAAGATACAGGGCCTGCGCCCACACTCATAGATGACCCTGTTTGATGTCAGCCACGAAAAGGACAGAGCCCTCATCCATGTCGCTGCCCACGACGGCGGCAACTTCTCCATAGCGATCTTCACCCTGCCGAACACCTCAGAGTCGTTCACGAAGATGTCCTCAAGGTCGGGCAGCTCGACCTTGATCCGCTTCATCAGGAACGAGCCAATCTCGTCCGCGCCCATCGCGCGCCTCGCCGCAGCGCACGCCAGCCGCTGGACGCGGGTAGGCTTGCCTGCTTGGAGCGACGCCCTCGCGGCCTCAAGGGCACGGGCCAGCAACCTGGACGAGTAGTAGCGGCGGCCCGTCTCCGCGGACACGAGCTGGTGGAACGTCTCGACGAAGGGCGGCGCTTTCCACCAGGGCGGTGAGAGATGTTGGGCAGCCCGAGCCGCGCCCAACAGAGTCTGGTCATCTCCGTGCTGGTCGAGGCCCTGGTGCAGGCGCTCGCGAATCTCGGGGAACTTGTGGAAGGTGGCAGTAGCAGCTCGGACGATCGCGGCAATCTGCGCGAGCTGCATGGACCTTGGAGCACGCACACCCCAGTTCCGCAGCCTCGGCCAGCCCTTGACCCTGGACGCACCGTTGTGGAACCTCAAGACGGAGGCATTGACCCAGTTCTCGACTTTAAAGGACTCGCGAGGCAGCATCACATACTGGGCTAAGCAGCTGAGGACAGGAAGGGCACGGCATTTCAACAACTGCGCGGATTCCATGGAGGGCGCGCCACTGGCAGTGCACATCTCGGTCCGCCCGCGGAACTTCTGGAAGGCCCCCCCCCCCCCCCCCCCCGTAGATCAAGCACTCGGTCGCCCCGGGCCCCAGAAGAAGACCGAGGTAGGTCAAGCGGTCGCAGATGTTGAACTCCTGGAAGCGGGGGGCAACCACGGCCAGGGCGCTGCGCAGCTTGTTCACGAGCTCGTCATCGAGAGGGCCCGCGAGTGGGATGACGCGGCAATTGGCGGGCTTCAGCGCGAGGCCCGCGAGGTCTTCCACGAGGGCCATCACCCCCGCCAAGCGCGCGAGATGGGTGACTGCAGCGAACACGGGCCCGAGGTCATCGGCACAGGCGCGGCGCAGCCCGTGGCCCCTGAGGTCAAGCTTCTGCTCAAGGTCGAGGAGGAAGCAGGAGGCGCCCATCGCGCAGAGGGCGCCGCTCCACCCGCACCCTTGGATGATACCCGAGCGGATGTAGAAGAGAGCGGAACGCACGAGCCCGCGCACGGGGCCATCGCGAGGATGCTGCGGCACATAGAGTCAAAGAAATTCCCATCAGCTACATGCGCGCCCATCACCTTCAGCGCGAGGCGGATGAACTGGCGGGCTAAGCTCGGGAAGACCTGCGCGATGTCCCGCGACACCAACACAAGCAGCTTGGTCACGGCGTTGGGGTCGGCGGACGCGATGCGGCTCTCGACGTCCAGCTCGAGGATGTTGCAGCCGAACTTGCGGCGGCGGATGAACCCGCGCTGCGATGCTGGGACCACGTCGACAGCCACCGCGGCCATCGCAGCGTTCATCGCGCTGCCGATGATCTTGAGGGAGGTGTTCCGAAGCCCCAGGACACGGACTTTTGAAGGGTCACGGCGGCAGCCGATGTGTTCAGCGTCGTCTGGCTCTTCCCCTTCGGGAGGAAATACCTCGACCGTCGCATTGGCTTCGCGCGACCTGCCAGAGGGTCGCAGCGCACATCTCATGCGCGGACCACGCGATGCATGGGGGGCCCGCCCATGCCAGGAGAAGTGGAGGACGATATGTTCGTGAACCTCTTGAGCGCGTCGACATTGGGAGGCTGGTATCTGTTGAAGTCGATCTTGGGCGCGCAGCAGTCGAGGTAGTGCTCCGCCGCCACGGTGTCCACAATCTTGCATTGGAAGACGGGCTGCCAATGCTCGATCAGCTTCTGCAATCTCTCAGTCGGCCCCGTCACAGTCCCCGTAGCCGTCTTCACACCGGTGAGCGCTAAGCGCTTGCTGATCGGGTTCCAGAGCTGGACTTTGTGGTGCAGTGCTTGGGACTGGGCGCGAGCTTGGGCATGAGGGAGGCGCCCGCGCTGGCGTGCCAGGTCGATGGCGGCTCGCCGCTGGTCGGCACCATGGCGGAAGAGGGCGCTGGCCCACTCCTCGAACGCGGCAGAGTCGACGAGCTTGATCCGGTCACTGCTGATGTCGAGGATGTTTTTGCGCTCCAGCATGAGCGAAGGAGTCTGGCCGCCAGCGCGCGATCCTCACGCCAGACCGCACGGGCCAGCGACTTGTCCAGCTGGAGCTGGACACCCCCCTGCCCTGGATGTTGTTCGTAAATGCGGTCTCGGGCAGCGCGCGCCACTTCTCGCGGGAGTTCCGCATCCTGTAGAATTCTAGCTCGCGGGGAAAGCTTGCCGAGGTCAGTAGCCTCCGACGATGCTCTGGCATTGGGCTCCGTGAGCTTCAGCTCCCCGACGGCGGCGAAGTTGATGTCCCCGATGACGACGAGCACGATCTTGCTCGGGCCGGCCTTTGCGAGGCGCGCGTCGCCGCTGATCTTGGTCGAGATGCGCCTGACCGCCGCATTGTTGATCTCGTAGTTGTGGATGTCGTAGAAGATCAGCCCCTGGCCGTCGGCCTGGAAGAAAGCGCGCAGAACACGCCCAGGAAGGAAGGGCTCGCCACCACATTGAGACCTGAGGGGGAGACTGTAGCTACACCGCCACTGACTTCCCCATGGTGATCTGGCACGAAGGAGGAGTGCATGGATAGCTTGGCGTTGATATTCCGCATGAAGGCGAGAAGCTGCGCGTGGTTATTCTGGACCTCCTGGGTGCCAAGGATCATCTTGTCGAGTGGGAGTGAGCGCACGTAAGAAGACTTCTCCACCACTCGACACCCTCGGTAACTGAGGAGAGCTCCTGCATTCCATGTCCCAACCACCAGACTCGGAGAGGGACCGCACGGCGCGCGCTTCAAACCTTTGGCAATCTCTTCAAAGACAAAACTGGAGGGCCACCTCGGGCGTGACCACATCGCTGATGGCGCCCTTGATCTGCGCGCGGCTGATGCCCAGAGCAGGGAGGCCCGTGTCCTGGTAGGCGATCGCCGTAGCTTCAACACGTCTGGGATGTACCGTCAAAGAGAGCACGGGAAACCAGTTGGCCGAGATCCAGCCCTTGGCGCGGTCGACTCTCCAGGCGCGGTTGGGGAAGGCCCGCCCCAGGGCCTGGCAGATCCGCTCGCCGATGATATCCGCGTTGATCTGCTCGGGGCACTTGTCAGGCCCCACCCGCAGCTCCACAGACCCATTGCCTGCGACCGCAGGGGCACGGATGCGGGACCAACTGCCATCACGATTGCGAAGGCCCCCCGGGGATTTCTGAACTCGGCGAGCGGCGGGCCCAGGTAAGCCCGTGAACTGAACCGTGAAGTAGATGGCGGCGTTTTGGCCCTGGACCTGGAAGTGCGTTTCCACCTGGCGACGGCCCCCTGTCGCTTTGTCGAGCGCGACAAGACCATCAGCATGCACTTTGACGATAGCGAGGCCAACGTCTCCGTCGAAGTCGCGGCCCTCGAATGTCTCATGCACCGGCTGCTTGTTGGCCACCTCAAGAGCCTTCTGGAGCGCCGCGATCTGGTCAGACATGTGGGAGATGGCCTTGTCGGTCTAGTCCTGGCGGCCCCCGATGCCCCCCACGCGCTAGGTGAAGGCGCCGAACTGCTGCTGGAAGGACTTGCGGGCGGCGTCGGCCCGCTGGCCCACGGCGAGGCCGAGCTCTTGTTCGATCTTGCTCGAGAGGCCGTTGATGCTAGCTTGCGCCGCGGCGATGGCAGCAGCGATGGAGCCCGTGGCCGCGCCCATCGCCGAGGAGACTGAAGCAGTGATGGCGCCCCTGATGGCCGACTCCATGGAGTCGAGCTTGTCTTTGAGGGGCTGGGCGCAGGCCACGGCGGCGAAGGTGTCGATGGCGGCCTCATCATTGGGCGGTGGAGTCCTCGAGCGATCACTCAGCCCACCACGGGGATCAGCATCAGCATGACCCGCGCGCTCCTGGACGACGCTGCGTCGGAGCGCCCCATCTGCGACCGCGGCCGAGGGAGAAGCGCCCGCCGCCATGAAAGAACAAAACTGGGAAGACGCACGATGAACGGGACACCCTTGCCCCGAGCACGCTCGAACGCAGTCCGCTGACTAACGACCCCCCTTTCGGCCCGGAGGCCGACAGCCTCCAAAAGCCGGCACCTCGAGCCAAAATGGCCCCGGGTGAGAAGGAGGAGGAGGAGGGGGAGGAGGAGGAGGAGGAGGAGGAGGAAGAGGAGGAGGAGGAGGAGGAGGAGGGAGGAAGGAGGGCGTCTGGCCTGACAGCTGGCCCCGCAGCCCCCGCAGGGATGACCTACCCAACCGATGGAGCCGCCGGGCGCTGTGGCCCGCGAGGAGCAGCTGTCGAAGTGACCAAGCGCCCTCACGCGAGGCCTGCCACTGCAACTGAAGCCGCAGCTAGGCCCCCGTCGCTGCGGGGCCCTGCCACAGGGGCCAGACGCTGCGCACTGGCGTCTTCGCGCGACCGCTAGCCCCGCCGCCCCCGCAGGGGCGGCCTGCCCAACCGAGGCAAGCGCTGGGCGCGGCGGCGGCTCCACAGCAGCCGTCGAAGTGACTGCTGGCCCGAATGTCGCCAGCTGAAGCTCGCCCCCGCAACCGAGAAGACGGGCGCGTTTTGGCCCGTCTGGGGCGAGGTCTGCAATATTGAACGGTGGCATGCCTCCGAAAGCATCGCTGCCTCCGCATGATCCTCCTCTCCTAGTAACCCTCCACCTGGAATTCACGGCGCCCGAGATGCATGCCTGACGTACACACTCAAATATTGGACCCCGTCCTGAATGCGCCCGTGGGCAACAGTCACATCCACCCCCCCAAAAAAAATTCGCCGGCCCAACGGGCCAGAGGCGTGCTAAGATCTCCGGTAACTGGTTAACAATTTTCTAGTTCGCGCGCGCGGGGCGGCCCCTGGGGGTCCCCGGACGAAAAGTACCCCGACCAGGTCCCGGCCGGTCCCCGGCCGGGTCCCGGCCGGGTCCCGGCCGGGTCCCGGCCGGGTCCCCCCGAGCGCTCCATGAGCGCACCAACAGGGCTCCGAGACGTCCCCGAGAGCCCCAAGAAAGGCCAAGAGGCCCCCAAGAGGCCCCCAAGATGGTACACGAGGGGTCCGACATGCCACAAGATCGCTCCAAGACGCCCAAGATAGCCCCCAGACGCCCCAAGAGGCCTCCAAGAGCACTCCCAATAGGGCCCCCGGAGGCAAAAATCATTGTTTTTCCATAGGTTTTTGAGAGATTTTGGAGCTTCCACCTTTTCGGCTTCCCGACGCCCCAAGACGGCCCAAGAGGCCCCCAAGATCGCCCCAAGAGGGCCCAAGAGGCACCCAAGAGGGCCCCAAGATGGCCCAAGAGGGCTCGAAGACGGCCCAAGAAGCCTCCAAAACGGTCCAAGAGGGCCCCAAGAACGCCCCCAAAGGGGCCCCAGAGAGGGAACACGAAACAACATTTCGAGCCCTCGGCCCTAAGAAGCCCCTACGAGGCCCCTAAGAGGCCCCAAGAGGCCCCCACGGGGCCCTCAGGAGGCCCCCAAGAGTCCCCCAAGCGGCCCCAGGAGGCCCCCCAAATGCCCCCCCGAGCGCCCCAGGAGTCCCCCAAGCGGCCCCAGGAACCCCCAAAGCGCCGCATTGACACCAGGCCCTCGGGCAAACGGCAGACATGAGACTGTATGGGCCGGCGGAATGAGCGAAGCGATTAAATAAACAGCTTCGACTGTTCGTCGCGCACCTTCCGCGGACGCCCCCTGCCTTCCACCTACCCCCCATGCGACGTTCAGCTCATGGAAATACATGTCTGTACATCATCCATCCGAGCGGCGGGCATCGGCCCCCGCGCGATGCGATGCGCGATCGCGCCTTCCACGAGGGGCGTTTACCAGAACATACTTGCCAAGCTTCATCAAATCGAACCGCTGACCAAGAACGCTTTGCAAGTGGGGATCGCCAGTGGCAGCCCGCGGAACGCGCGGGGGTAAACTGCATGGAACACAGAAAGACACGATAAAAAATAGGGGGACACGTGCTATAAGATAACAAGCTTTCTTTCCTTTCACGGGGGCCAGGCGCGCCCGTCGCCTGCGCGCCAGATGACCCGAGGGCCCCCGCGAGCCACAACGGCAGCACACAAGGGAGGTAGAACGGAAGCAAGGAGGAGGAGGAGGAGGAGGAGGAGGAGGAGAGGCTGGAATGACAACAACAGCACCAACCTTCCTTGCAGCCGAACAGCCGGCTCAGCCTCAGTCCACGAACTTCCTCTTATCGTTACCGTAGCCTTGGTAATCGTAGTCGTTCAGATACCGTAGACTTCTCCGGCAATCTCAAAAGCGTCTGCGACGCGGAGCCAGCGCAGCCACGCGAACACGCAGGACTTGATAACGCGCCAAAGAGAGTTCCGCCCAGGGATTGACAGATCCTGATTTGCCCGCAGCGTTCCCCATCACGCCCATGAAACATTTCGGCTCGGAGCCGCCGGGGTCGCACTGACGCGCAGCTCGCCCCAAGTAGCGGGAGGCTGCGCTGAGATCGATGGTCAATTGAGGTGCCCATCTCTCGCTCTTGGGGATCAGCCCGACAGCGGAAGATCCAAGCTCGCCCGGCCCCAGGTCCGAGCCCTCGATCGGCTCGCCCGAGTAAGCGTGGACACTCGGATACGCAGCAGGAATAGCCCGTGCCGCAAAGTTCATCCTGGCTGCGCGATTCCACAGCCTGCACCATCCAAAGACAGTCTGCCTCCCCTTGATCCTGTCGTAGATATCCCTCATTGTGGCAGTATGGATCCAGAGCTTGGCGACATGGGCACTGCCTTCGACCTGACACAACTGCTTATGAAAAATGCATAGTGGGATAAACTGCTCGGCGTCTGCAGTCCACCTGCATCTCGAAAATACACGGGCACATATTCATCTCGGGATCCACGCCAGACGACAAGTGCACCATATAGTGGGCGCAACTGGCACGGCGGGGCGCCCCTTCGCAATGGGCACCGGAGATGTCATCCGTGCTCGAAGGTCCCTGCTTCAGCTTGCACAGGCCTTCTTTGCTCCGAATAAAACCAAGAACTGCCAGGTCGGCGCCGCAGCACGCGGTCTGAAAGTCGGCGGCGGTCAAGGGCTGCATTTTGAGCCGTCTCTTCGACGCACATCGGACACATCGATAAGCCACCGCTGTCCGGTCGGGCATGCGATCGGTCCGACGCCACAATGGCCGAGGAGGATTGCCGAAAGATGCTCACGGGGAAGACTGGGCCCACTTGACAGCTGAATGCCCCGGAGCGAACTTCCAGCACCAGCACGTCCAAGAAAATCGCAGTGACAAAGGGCGTCGATCAAGCTGCCCCACGCCACGTCGACCTCGACGCAGTCCTTCCAGTGATGGCCCATCGTACCCCTGCCTTTTTTTCACAAGTTTGTAGCTATTATTCCAGCGGGCGCCGACGCAGTCCTCTTCGGGCCCAAGAAGTATCTCACCCTTCTCCACTGGAGATTCCTCCACCAGAGGATTAGAGACACACTGTTGGAGTGCAACCGCGGCGCCCATGGCCTCCTGCAGGCATCTGCAGCTGGCGGCGCATTGTTTGCACGCCCCTCGAGGATATCCACGGCGTTCACCACCTCGCGATAGCTGGCAAGAAAGCGCTTCAGCCCCTCGCTCTGATCCAGCTTGCCGCGGTTCGCGATCTGCTCCACGAGGTGCTGGAGCGCGGCCCCACTGCCTTTCACCGGCTACCCCCAGCAGTCGTTCATTAGCTTCTTCTCCTCCTGGGGCGCACGCCAGAAATTCCTACCAGCCCTCGGAATGTCGTTGTAGTTCACGCTGGCGACGAGAGCCAATACCGCGGGAACCCAGCCCGGTGGGTTGCTGAAGCTCCTCCAAGTGAACACTGACACAGGGCGAGCACACGCGGGGTTGTCGACCTCGGCCCGCGCGCGCGGCTGGGTAGCCATAGAGAGGCAGGCTCTCAACTTTGGCCCTCGGCTGCGCACGTCAGGCAGTTCAACGCGACCTCGGCGCCCAGCGCGCTGCGCGACGCGACCAGATGAATAGCTTCCTTGGCAGGAATGGAACGTCAACAGATTCATCCGGATATAATAGGGAATCTCCGGCATTGATGCCGACATGCAAGCATCTCAGCCACCTGCCCATGGGCCGCGGCAGGGCCCCGAGCTTGATCACCCACCGTCTGTCGAGCTCGGCTCCTCAACGCAAGGTAATAGATCGGGTCGTCGGAAGGTCAGCGTCCGTTTTTCCCCTCCACATCGGGCGGCTCTCCCCGCGGCGCCTGGCCCACGTTCTCGCCCTGATCTTGCAACGCTTCGGCCTCGGCCATCTCCCGCTGCGTCCGCTGTATATTTTCCTTCGCCACTTTCGCGGCGCATGAAAGCGGCAGTCGACATGCTGGAAGCAACTCCTGTCGATCGAGGTGGTCGTCGGTGTCAGCCCAGACGCGGCAGTTGTCTCCCGCTGGCATCCCCGCGACCCCCAAACACCCCTGATATCCCACTTTGCCGCGGCAGCGCTGGCGCGGCCCTGTATTCCAAGGGAATTCCGGGAGAGGGGGCCCGCAGATCATGCGCGGCGGATTCCGGACCTCGTCAGTCGGGATCTCCACCAAGTCGCCGAGAGAAAAGTCCAGCCCAGCTTCTTCTTCAAGCTCCATACTAGCTGTCGAGTCCCAAGTCCTGCTCGCGGGCAACACCCAGATCCCCCGGGTCGATCCTTCCCCCCGGCGCAGCGACCCCGCGCGGGGATGCCACCCCCCTGCTCCAACAGCGGACCAGGGCAGAAATGCCGCCATGCCCATCGGGAACCAAGACGTCTTCGGCCTGGGGGGCGCTGGCTCGGAGCTGGGCGCCTGAGTTTCCTCGGCAGTCGCCTTGGCCGCGCCGTCGTCCTCGACCGCGTCGTCGTCTTCTTCGATGGCAGGCAGACGAGCGCCATCTTCTCCGA